TTGGGTGACTTTGGGCCAATCACCAGGAGACTGGGAGTTGTAGACCCACCACAGCCAGGAAAGTCAACTGGTTGATTTTGGCCCAACCCACCTCACAGGGTTGTCGTCGGGGGGGGGGGAACAGGAAGATGAAAATATGTTTGCCACCTCGAGCTATTGGTCAAAGAAATAAAGGCAGGATGCAAATAAACAACATTCACCGACCTTTCGCTCTGGGGGAACTTGTTGTACTTCTCGTGCTTCTCGTAACCGTTGAAATGGAAGATGCATTCGATGAAGTGCTGAGAAAACATGACCGGATTCCTCTTGAGCAGCAGGTGCACCAAGCAGAACTTGACGAAACTGGAGAAGAAGGAAGGCCAATAGAAAAACAGCACTGAATCAAATGCCCGTCTGGGAATCTCCACCTTCTCCTTAAAAACCAGAGAGGTTAGCAACGACGTGCTGTTCTATCCCTATCCCATTTCATTCATTGTCCTATTCCAGTGGTGGCTAATCTTTTTGGGCTCCTGTGCCAAAAATTGTGTGGGCGCTTGCACTCGCGCACCAGCACCCAGAAGGCCATGTGCGCCCCCTCATGCATGCGGTATTTTTTGAATATACTGGAAGTGACGAAACGGGGCTAGTTTTCGGCCTGCAAAGCTTGCGGAAGCCTGCAAAAGCCTTCCTCAAGCCTTTGGGAGGCCGAAAAAGGCCTCAAACTAGCCGAAAATCAGCTGTGAGGCACGTACATGCACAGTGAGGTAAGTTTGCCTGCAGCTCGCGTGCTGGCACAAATGGCTCTGCGTGCCACCTGTGGCATATGTGCCATAAGGTTTGCCATTACAGTTTCATTCCATTCCTATTCATTTTTATTCTATTCTATTCTGTTCTGTTCTGTTCTGTTCTGTTCTGTCCTATCCTGTTCTGTCCCTATCTCATTCCATTCATTGTCCTATTGTATTCCATTCTATTCTGTTCCGTTCCATGTTCCGTTCCGTTCCATTCTACTTCAGTGCGCAAATTTGCTCCATCCAAACCATATGGGATATTATCAGGGAATCCACTATCGCTCAGGGAATCCAATATTACTGGACCTTTGGATGCGAAATCCTGATATATTTTTTTTCCCCTTTTTAACATGGTCTGCCACAGCAGTAGCTGCTTAATTTCCCCTCGTGAAATATCCAAGGGTCGCAGACCCTTCTCTCTACCTTAAGGGTGCTGGCATAACACTAAGCAGGGAATGGCACCCAGTGACACAGAAGCGACATCAAACCGGAGCTGTGTTGAAACACAAGGTTTCTCTCCTTCTCCCAGATCAGAATCTCCTTTGCTTAAAATGATCTTTTAAAAAAATAACAAAAAAACCAGCTTGTTTTCAGTGCCCTTCCCTTTCACAGAACTCTTTAGCAAAAGCTTTCAGGGCTCATCCTACAATTTTCCTTCTAATTATAATCCAGCATAATTAAAGGGAGAAATAACTCCATAGAACAGTAAACACCGTCAGTAATTACAATGTTTGAGGTAATTAACTCGTCACTGACGATAACTAAATCTTATTAAGAACGAGTCTACTTGCTTGAGTCTAAACTCAGAACCTCGATATTTAGAGTATTTTTTTTTTTTTTTTTTTAAAAAGGAAGAAAGAAAATGAATAATTTTTCCCCTGTTCCCAGCCCAATATGTGGGCTTTTATTGAAAAATATTCCCATTCATAGCTGGGTAGTTTTTACAGATAGTTCCTCAGAGGAGAAGTTCGTGGCTACAGAATTTAAGTTAATCTATATATATAAAAGTGAAATGCTTCTCACGCATCATCACAAAATCTCCAGAACTGTAAAGCCTACAAACTTGAAATTTGGCACGTATGTTCCTCTTGGCTTCTAGGTGCTCCACTAAGAAAGGATTTTTCCAAATGACCATCAGAGAATTAGTATTTCCTATATTATTACTATTAAGATGCTCTGATGCTAAGGAGTTCTACTCCCCCTCCCCACCTGAAAAGAAATCTCTTCCAAATGCAAAACACAAGCAGAGGAATTTTAGTTCCAGATCAGCAACCAGCTTTAGTACAGAACAGTTGAGCTAAGCCATGCCCAGGCTCCTTGCTGTCTCCTTTCTCACACAGCAAATACTGTTTCAGTTTCCAAACAGCCCTCAACTCCCTCACACATTGACAGGACGCTAGCCAGATGAATACCGATGGATGCTGGTAGGCAGAGGCAGAATTTCCTCCCGACTTATTTTCCTCCCCGAAAACTAAGCCTGATCACATAGTTTCATAGCAAAGGAGGGATATCCAGCCAGTTATATAAATAAAACTTTTGAAGGGATGAGAGTGAATCTGCAAGAGGAAACCCCAAAATGAAGTAGGGAAGACGGAAAATTAAATCCCGCTGGACTAAAGGTTCATACAGGCAGTCCTCAACTTACGACCACAATCGAGCCCCGCATTTCAGTCGCTAATTGAGACATTTAAGTGAGTTTTGCCCTCATTGACGTTGCTTGTCAGAAAGTCGCAAAAGGGGATGGCGTGACCCCAGGGACAGGGCGACCATCATAACTGTGAGCCAGTTGTCAGTGACCACAGGGGATGCGTGAAAAAAGGCCATAAGTCACTTTTTTCAGAGCCGTTGTAACTTTGAATGGCCAATAGGAATACCAACGAACCACGATTAGCCTGCATTAATATTTAGCACTAACTCGCATGAAGCCAACTCTGACACACGCCAATAGAAGGGAATGTTTGTAGCTTAGGATTGAACGGTTGCTGTCTGAGCTGACCATTTGGAGGCTTCAGTATTGCCACACTGGAGCTGAGGGATAGGGAGGAGGGAATAGAGATAGCTGGAGTTTTGTAGCCAAAACAAAACACTTTCTCTTGGGAACCAAGGTCATTCCCGCAGGTGGCCGGAGAAAGGAGGAGCGATGTCACCAGGCAACCAGACGGGACCTTGATTGGACCGTGTGACTGACTGACTGGGAAAGGGTGAGAATTAGCCGAAAACTGCGGGAATATTCAGAGTTGGTTTTCACCAACCTGTACCAATATGATAAGTCCAATAAAACTATTCTTTCTTATTCTTTCTACTTGCCTCGGAGTTCTGCTTGCTGTGGGCATATTATTTGGAACCCTGACACCTGAGTGTAATTGATATCCAAATCAAATCAAAGGCAAGCAAGCCTTGAAATCAGTCTGGAAAACTACAATGTGGTAGTTTCACCATGCTTGACCTTCCTGTGCCCAGGATGGAATTAGGAAATGCCAGCCAGAGAAGTCCTTAGTGAATACACAGGGCTTTGCCTTCCCACCGGGGTTTCCTTTAAAAACCACGGCACATGCCACGGTGGAAAACGCATTCTTCTCCTCTTTCTGTACACGCAGACTCCGGAACCGTTGTTTTTACTGTACTTTGATGCAAGTTTACGCGATGGACTGAAAAGCCCTATAAGGAAGCTGCCTGGTGTTTGTTTAAAGAACAATTCCGAGTATAAATAAAGCAGCAGGTATCAACGCCTCCTGTTCTTTAAGCAAACACCATCAATCTAAACCAGATTTCAGCCAAGCGAAGGCCAAAGAGGTAACGCTGTACTTCCCCCTGCTGGAAAGATATGGGACTAGATCATCCTAAATTCAGGCATTGTGGAGAAACCAAATTAGTTGGCCCCCTGTATCACCATTGTTTTTTAAAAATGGTTTGCTTCTTAAAAGCTTAAAAAATCAGCCTCACTGATCACTCTAGAGAAGACATCTTAAGAATTCATGGTGAGAAGGGAAGGGAGAGTTATGCTGGTTTATGACCGTAATAAATATTTGACTTGATTTAATAAGAGAATGGCTGCTTTCCCTACCACCCTAATGCATGCAAGACTTAATTGAAGAGGAAGGAAGGAAGGAAGGAAGGAAGGAAGGAAGGAAGGAAGGAAGG